GGCCTCAGCCTGGCCCAGCTCCAGCTGTTGTGGCCATTTCGGGGCATAAACCAGCACTTGAAGATTTCTCTGTCTCTCTGACACTCTGCCTTTCAAGCAGATGATAATAATTAAGTGAACATTAAAAACTTGACCTATTCAAGAAAATGCAGGCAGTCCAGGCATTCTGCCCGTGGCTGGGACGGATGACGGAGAAGGGTCGCCCGCTGCTGGTTCACACTCAGGCCAGCGGGGAGGGCTCCCTGGGCCTCTGTGGTCCGAGGAGTGGGAACACACACCTCCATACTCAGAGATGAGTTACTCTGCAAACTGCTTTTAGTACCAGCATAAATGAGAGTACTCACCGGGCATGCTGAATGTTGATACAGGATTCATCGATAGCTCCTCAGAATGGAAATCGGCAGGCCAAGAATAAGTGCCCTCTGTGGGACTGAACGGGCCTGACTCACCCACGAGCCTGAGAATTTCCCCAGATCTAGGTTGCAGGCTTGCCCGATTCAGAAATATCCCTGGCCAGGATTTTGCTATTGTTTTTAAGATTTATTTATTTTGAAAGTTGGAGTTAGAGAAGGAGAGACACAGAGAGGTCTTGCATCCATTGGTTCACTCCTCCAAATGGCCTCAACAGCTAGTCTGGGCCAGGCTGAAGCCAGGAGCTTCTATCAGGTCTCCATGTCGGTGACAGGGCCCAAATACGTGGGACATCTTCTGCTGCTTTTCCCAGGCCATTAGCAGGGAGCTGGATCAGAAGTGGAGCAGCCGGGGCCAGCACTGTGGTGTAGAGGGTAAAAGCCACTGCCTGCAGTGCTGGCATCCCATATGGGTGCCAATTCAAGTCCCGGCTGCTCCACTTCTGATCCAGCTCTATGCTATGGCCTGGGAAAGCAGTGGAGGATGGCCCATGTGTTTGGGCCCCTGTCTCCAACATGGGAAACCACGAAAAAGCTCCAGGCTTCAGATCAGCTCAGCTCTCGCTGTTGTGGCCATTTGGGGAGTGAACCAGAGGATGGAAGACCTCTCTGTCTCTGTCTGTCTGTCTGTCTCTCCCTCTGCCTTTCTGTAACTCTGCCCTTCAAATACATAAATAAATCTTAAAAAAAAAAAAAAAAAGAGGAGGACAAAGAAGAAAAAGAAGAGCAGCTGGGATGCAAACCGGAGCCCCTGTGGGATGCAGGGGTCGCAGGCAGCAAGCAGCTTCAGCAGCTACGACACAATGGCGCCTCCCCCAGCTATGTTTTGCCACACTGAGGTTGGCGCTCACTTGGACATGCCTGCTTGTCATATTGGAGTGCTTGGATTCTATTCTTTCTCCAACTCCTGCCTCCAGCTTCCTGCCAATGCAGCCCACAGGAGGCAGCGGTCAGCTCAAATGACAGTTCCGGCCACCCACCCGGGAGACCCAGGTTGAGTCTCGGCCCGTGGCTCTGGTCCCAGCCTAGCCCTGGCCTTGTGGGCAGTTGGGGTGTGAACCAACAGACTGGCGTTCTCTCTGCTTCTCAATTTTTTTTTAAGATTTATTTTATTTATTTGAAAGGCAGAGTGAGAGAGAGAGGAGAAACAGAAAGAGATCTTCCATCTGCTAGTTTATTCCCCAAATTACTGCAATGGCTGGGGCTGGTCCAGGCTGAATCCAGGAATTGGGAACTCTGGGTCTCCTACATGGGTGGCAGGGGCCCGAACACTTGGGCCATTTTCCATTGCTATCCCAGACACATGAGCAGGGAGCTGTACTGGAAGCAAAGCAGCAAGGGACTCTTACACAGGACGCTGGTGTTGCAGGCGGCAGCTTACCCTGCTACACCACAGTGCCAGCCCCTCAAGTAACTTTTTTTTTTTTTTTTTTTTTTTTGGACAGGCAGAGTTAGACAGTGAGAGAGAGACAGAGAGAAAGGTCTTCCTTCCATTGGTTCACCCCCCCAAATGGCTGCTATGGCAGGCACTGTGCCAATCAGAAGCCAGGAGCCAGGTGCTTCTCCTGGTCTCCCATGCAGGTGCAGGGCCCAAGCACTTGGGCCATCCTCCACTGCACTCCTGGGCCACAGCAGAGAGCTGGCCTGGAAGAGGAGCAACCGGGACAGAATCTGGCACCCCAACTGGGACTAGATCCTGGGGTGCCGGCGCCGCAGGCAGAGGATTAGCCTAATGAGCCGCAGCACCGGCCTCAAGTAACATTTTAAAATACAAAGCCCAACCTGATGTCAGACTCTTTGTTTTTGCAAACGAGGTAGATGTGCCTCCTTCCTGGACCAAGCAGACAAGCCCCTCCCCATCCAGAGGTGGGAAGGATTCCTGCACTCACCCCACCATACTCACTGGCTCCCATTCTGTGTGTGGCACTGTGATGGGTGGATTTGGGGGGCAGAAGGGAGAGGAAGGAGAAAAAAGAGAGTTCTTGCCTTTTGGGGCCTTACAAATTCCTAGAAGAAACGGAATCACAGAAATAGAAACAGGATGGGCGAGGACAAAAAGCCAGCAGGAAAGGAGAACTCAGACCTTCCGGGGGAGGGGACCTGCAGTAGAGGTGACAGAGGGGCTCCCACATGGTGCAACCAGGGACAGGACAGGACGGTGACTGGGGCTGAGGATGGCTTCAGGGCGAGGGCCGGCAGAGGTGAGCACTCACAGGACACCAGGATTTTATCCAGAGACGAGGCCAGGCCATTCCAACCCCAAGACTCAGGCACAACATTCCTAACACAGTTACCTTCAGGAACCAGCAAGGTCTGCCCTCAACGGAACAAGGGCACTAAGGAGGGGCCAGGCTGCAGGGGGGTCTGGGCCAGGTCGCAAAGGGCCAGGGCTTCCAACCTTCTGCTTCTCATCCCCAGTCTCTCTCTCTCTCTCTGCTTTTCAAATATTTTTTTAAATGTAAAAAGAAATAAAAGGCAGAAGTCAGAGGTCTGACAAAGCCACTCACTTCCGTGGAGAGAAAGGGCACGGAGCCCCCCACATGGGCCGGGGCAGGGGGCAGGGCTGCTGTCGCCCCGATGCCTGCTGAGACCCGGCTGCTCTGTGATGGCCCCAGCGAGACAGCGATCCCTCAGCTCCTGACTGAAGATCCCGGAGTTTACGGCAAACCTGTCACATCCATCAGGAGACAAGTCATCCAAGTTATGAAACAGGATGTGAAGTGTCTAGTTTTTTTTTTTTTAATAGGAAGAATAAAATTATTTCTCAAGCCCAAAGAAAATCACTTTGCTTCAAATAAACCCTAGGCTCTACCAAACCCGCATGGAAGGCAACAGGCCTGAGTCGGAATCCTGGCTCCACACTGAACCTCCACTTCCTGTCTGTAACATGAGCATCCCACCTGGGACTTCCGGTTCCTGGCAGTGGCCACAGCCTCTGCCCCGGTCACCTGCCCTCTCCTCTTTATATGTCCCTGTCCTGTCTCCTAAACCTTCCAGACCACACAGCCCAAAGCGCTCTGCTTTGTCCTTGTCCTCACCTGCACCCCTCCCTCGCACACACACCAGGAAGGCCGTGCAGTGCTGTCCGTGTGGTGACATGCTCACACATGGTGCCTGTGTCCTTGCACGCCGCAGTCTGAATGGTGCTCCGGATCCTGCAAGCTTCCTCTAACTTCACTGGCAAAGATAACCCCCTGTTTCCCCAGGGAGTGACGCTGACCAAAGTCTTGCCTATGATCTGCCAGGCCCACAGAAAGAGCTGGGGAAACGCTAGCCACTCACAGTGTTAGCTCCTTCTCACGTGTCCAGTTCCTCCTCGGTGCCTGCTGGCCCTGCCTCGGCCTGCCCCCATCCCTGCACAGCCATGACAGGCGGCTCCTTGGCTGCCCTCCACTCTCCGGCCTCTCCCCCGCTGCATCAAACCAACATCCTGTTGCCAGACTCAGCTTCCTCCCATGCCCCCTGGGCCCTCGCTCAAGAACCAACAGCATTCGGTCCCAGCTGCCACCCATCCTTCCTCAAAGCACACTTGCCACTCCAGCGGCCAGACCCCCCACCCCACCCCACCCCTGTCACCCAGGAAAAGCCACACAGCTCCTCTAGGGAAGTGTGCCAGCCCCCACCTGTGCCTTTCCAAGGCCACTCCACCCGGCATCCTCCATGCACCTCCTCTCCCCTCCTCGTTCCCTGCTGTGACCTCCAGTTTACAACTGACTACCACGGTGGAGAGGCAGGAGTTAAGTGGCAAGCCAGGAACTCAGCAGCAACCCGGGAGACCCAGGCGGTAACCGCGGTAAAGAGCTCAAGTTGGAATTATTTTTTTAAGAGCCCAGGATGGCCTTATAACCCAGCAAGTCCCTAGTTATTAGCTATTTTGTTTGGTCATTGGTTTCATAGTCACTTTGAAAAAAAAAATCAGATTTTTTTAAATTGCTGGAATTTTTTGTTTTTTAAACATTTATTTATTTGAGAGGCAGAGTGACAGCGAGAGTGAAAGAGAGAGATTTTCATTCTCTGGTTCACACACCAAATTCCTACAACAGCTGGGGCGGGGCCAGGCCAGAGCCAGAACTCCGCGCAGGAGTCCCTTGTGGGGCAGGGACTCGAATACTTGGCCGTCCTCCGTACTTCCCAGGCGCGTTACTGAGGAGCTGGATTGCAAGCAGAGCAGCTGGGACTCAAACCACCACTCTGGAGGGGACGAAGCGGCCCAAGCAGTGGCCTAGCCCGCTGGGCCACGGTGCCGGCCCTGCTGGAAGCATCCTGGTGTTCACTGCCGAGCCCAGTGAAGTGCCAAGGGCTGGTCTGTAGGTCTTCAGCTTCCCTCCCCATAGCCTCCATCGACTCCCCAGTCACAGCGAATAAACACTCAAGCAAAATCTGTGCTCGCTTTGCTCCAAGAACAGCGCCCTATGCCCTACCTGGACCGAAGTTCTGGAGCCACCACTGCACGGGATAGGGCATGAGAGGGTGATGAACGTGCTCAACTGCCTTTGGACAGGGTGCACCCTGTCCTGGCCACCTCCTTCTCCTCCTCCCTAAACAGCACACCCCTCCCCCGCCCTCTGCCAACGAGCTTCTGCATCTCACCTCGGTCCCGCAGGGTCTGGGTCAAGTCTTCCACCAGGGCCACGGCCTCCTCGCCGTTCTCGGGCCGATGCTCTCGCAGCCAGGCCTGAATCTCCCGCGGCAGCACAGTCAACATCTGCTCCTTGGTGTGCACCTCTGGCCTCAGCCAGCGCCGACACAGCTCTCGGAGGCGGCCGAGCGCGCCCTGCGGCCCCCCGGCCGCTGCCTCCTCCTGGGGGCTGCCCTTGCCCTGCGCGAGGGGCTCAGGCTCAGGGCCCTCCTCCTGCAGCACAGCTTCCTGCACCCAGGCGTCGTCCTCCAGCATCATGGTGGTGACCTCCGCCTCCTCCTGCTCGTCCTCCTCTTGGGGCACCTGGCCCACGGGGCTCAGGGGAGCAGTCACGCTCGGCACCTCCGCAGCCATCATCCACGCGCTGGGGGCTTCGAGGCTTCTCCAGCCACACTCTCTGAGAAGACACGGCCCTCCCCAACTCTCCACAGGCAGGCAGACCTGCTGAGAAACAAGACAGGACAGGAACCAGTAAGCAGACTGTCCCCGAGTGATCTGACTCACGGCAGCCCAGCTCCGCCCACCAAGACATCCTGAGACACAGTCCGTGCCCTGGCTGCTCCACTTCCAGTCCAGCTCCCTGCTAGTGCACCTGGGAAAGCAGCGAAGGTCGGCCCAAGTGCTTGGGCCCCTGCCACCCACGTGGGACACCCGGATGGAGTTCCAGGCTCCTGGTTTTGGTCTGCTCTCCCTGGCCGTTGCAGCCATTTGGGGAGTGAACCAGCAGATGCAAGATTCTCTCTCTGTGTCTCTCCCTCTCTTGGTCACTCTGCCTTTCAAATAAAAATAAATCAATCAAAAAGAAGGAAAAGGAGGCGAGGGGAAGGGAGGGGAGGAAATACAAAGCCTTCCAAAGAGGCCAGGCAGGGTCAGTCTGCCCTAAGTCACTCCAGACTTCCTGCAGGGCAAGTGACTTTGACTAAGACACAACTTAGCCACTCAACCTCAGTGACACCTAATGAGTAGAGATAATGACATTCGTCCTCCTTATCTCAGGGGACATCTTAAGGATTAGCAAAGGATCGGATGTCATGTCAGGGCACTCAGGCTTCACTGGAAGGAAGCCACTATCTCACTGCATCATTGCCACCACATTTCCAAGTAGTCTTCCCTGGACACCTGGGTGGGGTGGGGGGGGCTGTGTTCTACCACACCCACGTAAATCAACATCTTTAGAACTTCTAGGCTTCTCCCTTTGGCCTGGCCCAGCCATGGCCATTTTAGGAATTTAGGGAGTAAACCAGCAAACAGGAGATTGATCTCTCTCAGCTCTCCCTTTCAAACAAAATGAATATAAAATGAATATAAATAAATGTTTAAGGCCGGCATTGTAGTGGGTAAAGCCACTGCCTGCAAGGCCGGCAACCCATATGGGCACCGGTTCGAGTCCTAGCTGCTCCACTTCCGATCCAGCTCTCTGCTGTGGCCTGGGAAAGCAGTGGAAGATGGCCCAAGTCCTTGGGCCCCTGCACCCACGTGGGAGACCAGGAAGAAGCTCCTGGCTCCTGGCTTCAGGTCAATGCAGCTCTGGCCATTGCAGCCATTTGGGGAGTGAACCAGTGGATGGAAGACCTCTCTCTCTCTGCAAATAAATAAATAAATCTTAATAAATAAAGCTGTAGCACACCCACACAGTAAAATGTATTTCAATAGCATGCAAACACAACAGTGGCTGCCTTCCGCGGGGGAGGGAACACTGACCGGGAAGGGGCTCCGAGGAGACTTCTGGGGGCTGGGAAGGCTCTCCGTCTGGATTCCCAGGGCTACACTTGCCCCCCCCCCCACGTGACATTTAAGATCAGCGCACTCGGCTGTGCGTATTTTTAAATACTTTTTAAATTACACTGACAGAGGTTATCAATCATCAATGATTTAAGTTCATCCTCCTGACATGAAAACAATGGATAAAATAGCAAGGCAGAAACAAAATCCTAGTGAGGAAGCAAAGCCCTCAAAGTGCGTTCAACCCCAGTGCCCAGAGCACGCGGGGGCAGAGCACTGCGCGGGTCCCAGCGGGGGAGGACACGCCCCCAGCCTCAGTTTCTCCGTCGGCAACACGGCCGGCTGCGCGGGTGTCGTCGGAGGTTCCCTCCAGGGCAAACCCCGCGCCGCCCGCTGGCATCCGCCAAGGGGTTCCCGGCCGGGAGAAGCCGCGGTGCGGGTCGCTTCGCCGCGCGCGGCCGCGCGCCTCCGTGGGGGCGGCAGGGACCCCTCCCCCAGCGGCGCTGGCTCCAGGCCCGTCCCTCCCTTGCCGCGGGCGGCTCTCCGGGCCCGCGCAGCTCCAGGCCGGCCTCTGCGCCTCACCTCTCCGGAGACCGAGTCCCGCTCCGGCCGCGGCTCCGCGCGCAAAAGCGCCTCCGGGCTCGGTCCGGCCCCTCCGGAGTCACCTCAGCTCAAGCCCGTGGGGCACCGAGAACAATGGACGGGAGAGGCCCGCCCACCGCCGCGCTCATTGGCTGCTGCGAACGGCCCCTAGAAACTCTGCCTTTCTACTGGCGGAGACAGTGCCAAACAGGCGGCGGGAGGGCGGCTGGGCCCGCGGCATTGTGGGAAGTGTAGTCCACCTGGAGCCGAACCCGCGCACCGTCCTGAGGGGCAGAGTGGACGCTCTGGGTAGCCTGGACAGCGCGCGAGGGGCAGAGACAGGGGAATCCGGGGGCTGAGCGTGAGGCCTTCGGGCTTGGTCGGAGCCGAGACAGGGCACTTGACGTCTCTAAGCCCTCAGTGTATCTGTCTATAAAAAGTAAAAGTTGGACAGGCGGACTTGAGGGTCCCGTGGCTACTATTCCGAGGGCCCTTGAAAGGAAATGAGTTGGAGCCGGGGACACCCCCAGGCTCGCGGGCCCCTCCCTTCTCCTCCTGTTCTCTACCTCCCTGAGAAACCCCACCCGGCACACCTGTTCTACGTCCCCGTAACAGCGCTAGCCGCCGCAGTGCCGCCTCGTCCGTCTCAGCCCTGGGGTGGCAGGTGCAGGGAGCTGGAGATTGGCTCCTAGCTTGTGTCCCCACGTTTGAGGCCCCAGCTCTGCGTGGGAACAGCTGAGACACGGTTTACAAAACCCAAGTGCCCAGGAAATCGAAGAAGGCAGCGAGCAAGGCGCCCTTTATGGTCTGAGACAGAGCAACCGGGTGCTTGTATGCAGCGATTGGATGCACACACAATTGTGAGTTGTCATACTTATTTGATTTACTTGAAAGACAGAGACAGAGATCTACCATCCCTTGGTTGGGCCCCAACGACAGCAGGGCTGCGCCTGGGCAAAGCCAGGATCCAGGAATTTAGTCCTGGTCTCACGCATGGGGGGCAGGGACCCAAGCACTTGAGCCATCTTCTACTGCTTTCCCAGGCGCATTAGCAGGGAGCTGGATTGGAAGTGGAGCAGCCGGGACTTGAACCGGTGCCCATATGGGATGCAGGCACCGAAGGCAGCGGCTTAGCCCTTGCGCCACAGGCCCCTTTCTTCATTTTTAAATCAAATTTATTTTTAAGGATCCATTGAACATTAAGAAAACTATCCTGAGGCATGCGTTGTGGCACAGTGGGGCTAAGCGAGTTAAGCATCCTCTCACAGCTCCGGTTCGAGTCCCGCTTCCTGCTAATGCACCTGGGAAGGCCGCCATTGATGGCCCAAGTGCTTGGCCCCCTGCACCCACATGGGAGACCAGGACGAAGTTCCTGACTCCTGGCTTCAGCCTGGCCCAGCCTCAGCTGTTGCAGGCATTTCAGCAGGAACCAGCAAATGGAAGCGCTCTCTCTCCCTCTGTCACTCTGCCTTTCAAGTAATACATTTTTTAAAAAAATTTTTAAATGAAGAAAGAACTATCCCTTTGTCACAGCATTTGCTATTATTTCCCTCGGTTGTTTTCCATCTACTGGCTTATTAAATCACAGACATTTGACATTTAAAAAAAAAGATTTATTTATTTACTTAAAAGGAACAGAGACAGAAAGAGAAGGAAAAGGCAGGGAGAGAGAGAGAGAGAGAGAGAGAGAGAGAGATTGAGTGATCTTCAATCCACCGATTCAGTCCTCAAAAAACCACAACAGTTGGGTCTGGGCCAGGCCAAAGCCAGGTCTCCCACATAGGCGGCAGGGGCCCAAGCACTTGGGCCATCTCCCACTGCCCTCTCAGTCTCATTAGCAGGAAGCTGGCTTGGTAGCAGAGCAGCCAGGCCTCAGATCAGCACTCTGATGACAGCTTAACACCACTGTGCCATAATACTGGCCCCTAAATTTGACATTTTTATGTGATCAAATTTGCTAATCTTGTTATGGCTTCTGAAATTTGTGCCAGAAAGTCCTCTCTAGTACTCGAAAGATTATTTGAAATTCACCTGTTTCTCATTAATTAACCTCTTTAATCCAAGAATAAATTGACAAAGTGACATCAGATTTGGCTAACAAGTGATAGCGTGTGAATTTGTTAGCTCAACAGCGCCACCTCCAGGCCGTCCTGGGAGTGT